TGCCCTCATTACGCAAGTCTCCGCTCTTCGGTTAAACTTAAGATTGCGCTGGGTGGTGCAGAGCCAGGCGACCCTCTGGAAACAGCCGCCTCTGTCGTGGGACTGCAGTTCTGGCACGGGTGACATGTTCAAAAAGAGGTGTGAAGACTGCATCCTCCTTGTGCATTGAAGGAAATCCTCCAAAGCGAAGTCATTTGGGAGCTAGGGTGCGGAAAACTGGGATTCTTTTGCTGGACAATTGAACAAAAATGGAGAAGAGCTCTTTTCTCATACCACATCAGTAATCACCAGGGCTTGCTGGTGGCCCCATCAGCACATCTGCAGCTCCAGTTTTGCATGTTACAAGGTGCTGAGAAACCACTCATCTTCAGGGAGCACAAAGGTGCTCAAGCTTCGTTTTAACTTTTACCTTCCTCTTCTTCCCCTTCTTAGCAGCACTTGGCACTGTGCTTGGCACTTGACTCAGTTCGAGTCAAACTCTGTGCCCACTGGTGTGAATAAAAAGCATGGCACCCTAACCCCCCCGAAAATGGCACCCCAAAACCTGAGACGGGGCAACCACCTACCCACACTGAAAAGAAATGCTTGACTCTCTGCAACAAACTCTGCCCTCCTTCAGCAGAAAAGGCCCCAGGTCTGTGGGCATAATGACAATATGATCTGCTTGACGCTGTTTTAGTGTCACTTAAGGCCCGAGACAAAATATCCACAACCCCCCTCAACAAGTCAGCAATCGGCATTTCCCTGTGTGGAAGTTTGTGTGGCCTGCGACAGAAGCAGCCTGGAATACATTCATTACCTTTTGAAAATGTGCAGGTTGTTTTCTTTTTGTTGGAATAACCCTGCACAAAGAGAAGGGGGTTTTTACACCTTGCAGATTTAGTGATCCCAGTCTCTGTGGTGGGAAAAGAACAGTTCTGACAAGAGAGGATTAAATACAAGCATTTTATCTTCCAGATTCTGCATCACTGAGATGCTAGAAAGGAGCAGTTCCGGTCTCCCCTTCTCTTTAACCCACCGACTTGGATCACCCAAGCGGAAAAACTCACTCAAAGCCAGTTCCGGGAAGTGAGCCACTGATGAGCAAAATTAATTCACTATTTAGACTTCTTATTTCTATTGCAAGAGCATTTAAAGTCCTCCAAACCAGAATCAGGGTCCCACTGTGCCAGGTGCTGTACATAACCACAGTGAAGTACATACCCTCTCCTGAAGAATGTACTATCTAACTGGACAAGCAAGACAAGAAAGAGAAAGTAGCTTGCCAAAATTTTCCCAGCGAATCAGTGTCAGGGCCAAGAATAAAACAACAGTCTCCTAATTCCCTAAGCACAGTGTCCTAACTCCACACCACAGCTGCTCCTTCTGAACAGCTGCATATCCCTCATATACATTTAAAAGCACCAAAATGCAGAAGGGTAATGCAACCCATCAAAACCATAACACGCCTGTCCCCTACACACAGCTCATATGCATCAGTAAACCACAAATTGCATGCTCTAGGGAAGAGAGAGGGAGAAGCTTTCAATGCAACGGGGAAATCGTGGCAAAAATTCTTTCAGCAGGCCCTTGCTTTTATACCAAGGCAGTGGCAGTAAGGACTAATTAGAGTGATCCCTCTAGATAAGACATGGAGAAAAATCCCAGAATATTTATAACTAAGCCAGTACCAACACTATCAGCTCGTCTAGAGTCAAGGGGAAGCCAGTGAAGATCCTGGAGCTCTATCATGCTTGTGGTAAAACAATGGGATGACATCCATAGATCTGGCTACATCCAACATAGTAGTTAGGTTTTTAAATCCTAACTGTGACCCAGAGAGAAAATACACTGGGCGTGTCTACACATGCACTTTAATGTGCATTAGCCTATTCTAAAGCGTGACAAAGAACCCATGAGCTTTTGCTAATGTGCATTAAAATAGGCTAACATGCCTATTCCTAGTACCTCCCAATGGAGGTATTAAGTTTAACATGCATTAGCAAAAGCACATCAACGAATGTGTAGACACGTGTGTAACATATACCAGTCTGTACACCGAGGTAAAATCCTCTAGGGTCAGGAACGAACAGATAAGCCAGTCCACAGCAGGCATGAATATAGTATCATACTACTATTTTGAACAAACAGCTATCCCAGGATATGATGTGGGGAGATGATAACGGCACAATGTCGTTTTGCCCCAGTCCTTTCCGAGGTAATTCTATTCTGCTCAGTTCAGCTGCTTGGCGAGAGCTGCTAGTTCAGACACAGGCTCTGCGCAGATTAGGCCAGAAGGGAAAAGGAAAGGACAGGCTTATCGGCAATTTAATACCAAAAAAAAGCCCCTGCAAAATTGCTGCTCCACCCGAGCGAGCAGAAATATTTGTTTCAAGGAACATTTTGGTATTCGAGGTCTCCCTGTGCGAGCATTTGGAGCTGCCAGTCAAGAGCTCGCTGCTCACAGCTGGAGCTCTGATTAATTCACTTGCATGTCTGGAAGTTTTCCAGGTGCTCAAAACCAAAGAAAAAAGTTACCTGCAAGCTCCTTTTGAAACTGGGTCAGTGACTTTACCTGCCTCTGTGGAAATACCACCAGATACTGATGTGGCAGCCGCAGACCAGTTTCTTGTCAGATAAACTGAGAGCAGCAGACTTTTAAGTAAAAGGTGCCTCAATGCTCCCAGGCATCCTGACCGTTAAGGTGACGGCATGATAAAACACAGGTGCTCACCCCCACAAAGAACACACCTTGGCCATCTGAAGGAGGAGGTTCCAAAGACCAAGTGACCAACACCTGCCAGCACCCCGTCCCTGAACGCCGCAAAGAGAAAAGTCACGTCAAGGTGCCCACGGGGATTAGCAGACCTGGTACAACCATGCCTAGGGCTTCTGCTGCAACATGACTGACAAGTTCCCAGAACAAGGACCGTGCAACTTGCTGCTTATCTGAATGCAAGCCAGCCGTTTCTCCAAGAAGTGGAGCCAACTCTTGGAGTTGTGTTTCAAGACTTTATCAAAAAAAAAAAAAAAAAAA